GTGGGGCCAGGGAGAACGGAAACGCTCGTTTCTCAAAAAGTAGAGGGAATGTAACGGTCTCACTCGATCAGAAGGTGGGAAATATATAAATCTAGTCAGCTAAAAAGGTTTGAAATGTATTCAACGCACATGTATAGAGAAAATGGTGCATTGGCCAGGTCGGTCAGTATCGGAACTTAAAATGAAAATGCCAGGGAGAACGGAAGCGCTCAGATCTCGCATAGTACACGGAATCAAGTGGTCTCACTCAAATAGAAAGTAGGAAATATATTCATCTAATGAACGTAAGGGTTTAAAAGGTAACTAACGCACATGTGTAGAGAAAATTGTGCATCGGCCAGTCTGGCCGGCATTTCGCACTTATAGTGCAAGTAGGGCCAAGGAGAACGGAAACGCTCATTTCTCGAAAAGTAGAGGGAATCTAGCGGTCTCACTCGATCAGAAGGTGGGAAATATATAAATCTAGTGAGCTAATAAGGTTCGGAAGAAACCTAATGCATATGTATATGGAAAGTGGTGCATTGGCCATGTCGGTCAGTATGGGAACTTAGAGTGCAAATGCCTGGGAGAACGGAACCGCTCAGATCTCGCATAGTACACGGAATCAAGTGGTCTCACTCAAATAGAAAGTAGGAAATATATTCATCTAGTGAACGTAAGGGTGTGAAAGGTAACTAACGCACATGTGTAGAGAAAATGGTGCATCGGCCAGTCTGGCCGGCATTTCGCACTTATAGTGCAAGTAGGGCCAAGGAGAACGGAAACGCTCATTTCTCAAAAAGTAAAGGGAATCTAGCGGTCTCACTCGATTAGAAGGTGGGAAATATATAAATCTAGTGAGCTAATAAGGTTCAAAAGGAATCTAATGCGTATGTATATGGAAAATGGTGCATTGGCCAGGTCGGTCAGTATGGGAACTTAGAGTAGAAATGCTAGGGAGAACGGAAACGCTCAGATCTCGCATAGTACACGGAATCTAGTGGTCTCACTCAAATAGAAGGTAGGAAATAAATTCATCTAGTGAACGTAACGGTTTGAAAGGTAACTAACGCACATGTGTAGAGAAAATGGTGCATCGGCCAGTCTGGCCGGCATTTCGCACTTATAGTGCAAGTAGGGCCAAGGAGAACGGAAACGCTCATTTCTCAAAAAGTAAAGGGAATCTAGCGGTCTCACTCGATCAGAAGGTGGGAAATATATAAATCTAGTGAGCTAATGAGGTTTAGAAGGAATCTAATGCATATGTATATGGAAAGTGGTGCATTGGCCATGTCGGTCAGTATGGGAACTTAGAGTGCAAATGCCTGGGAGAACGGAACCGCTCAGATCTCGCATAATACACGGAATCTAGTGGTTTCACTCAAATATAAGGTAGGAAATATATTCATCTAGTGAACGTAAGGGTTTGAAAGGTAACTAACGCACATGTGTAGAGAAAATGGTGCATCGGCCAGTCTGGCCGGCATTTCGCACTCATAGTGCAGGTGGGGCCAGGGAGAACGGAAACGCTCGTTTCTCAAAAAGTAGAGGGAATCTAACGGTCTCACTCGATCAGAAGGTGGGAAATATATAAATCTAGTCAGCTAAAAAGGTTTGAAATGTATTTAACGCACATGTATAGAGAAAATGGTGCATTGGCCAGGTCGGTCAGAATCGGAACTTAAAATGCAAATGCCAGGGAGAACGGAAGCTCTCAGATCTCGCATAGTACACGGAATCAAGTGGTCTCACTCAAATAGAAAGTAGGAAATATATTCATCTAGTGAACGTAACGGTTTGAAAGGTAACTAACGCACATGTGTAGAGAAAATTGTGCATCGGCCAGTCTGGCCGGCATTTCGCACTTATGATGCAACTAGGGCCAAGGAGAATGGAAACGCTCATTTCTCTAAAGGTAGAGGGAATCTAGCGGTCTCACTCGATCAAAAGGTGGGAAATATATAAATCTAGTGAGCTAATAAGGTTCAAAAGGAATCTAATGCATATGTATATGGAAAATGGTGCATTGGCCAGGTCGGTCAGTATCGGAACTTAGAGTACAAATGCCAGGGAGAACGGAAGCGCTCAGATCTCGCATAGTACACGGAATCAAGTGGTCTCACTCAAATAGAAAGTAGGAAATATATTCATCTAGTGAATGTAACGGTTTGAAAGGCAACTAACGCACATGTGTAGAGAAAATGGTGCATCGGCCAGTCTGGCCGGCATTTCGCACTTATAGTGCAAGTAGGGCCAAGGAGAACGGAAACGCTCATTTCTCAAAAAGTAAAGGGAATCTAGCAGTCTCACTCGATCAGAAGGTTGGAAATATATAAATCTAGTGAGCTAATAAGGTTCAGAAGGAATCTAATGCATATGTATATGGAAAGTGGTGCATTGGCCAGGTCGGTCAGTATGGGAACTTAGAGTGCAAATGCCTGGGAGAACGGAACCGCTCAGATCTCGCATAATACACGGAATCTAGTGGTCTCACCCAAATATAAGGTAGGAAATAAATTCATCTAGTGAACGTAAGGGTTTGAAAGGTAACTAACGCACATGTGTAGAGAAAATGGTGCATCGGCCAGTCTGGCCGGCATTTCGCACTCATAGTGCAGGTGGGGCCAGGGAGAACGGAAACGCTCGTTTCTCAAAAAGTAGAGGGAATCTAACGGTCTCACTCGATCAGAAGGTGGGAAATAGGTAATTCTAGTCAGCTAAAAAGGTTTGAAATCTATTTAACGCACATGTATAGAGAAAATGGTGCATTGGCCAGGTCGGTCAGTATCGGAATCAAGGGAATCTAACGGTCTCACTCGATCAGAAAGTGGGAAATATATAAATCTAGTCAGCTAAAAAGGTTTGAAATTTATTCAACGCACATGTATAGAGAAAATGGTGCATTGGCCAGGTCGGTCAGTATCGGAACTTAAAATGCAAATGCCAGGGAGAACGGAAGCGCTCAGATCTCGCATAGTACACGGAATCAAGTGGTCTCACTCAAATAGAAAGTAGGAAATATATTCATCTAGTGAACGTAAGGGTTTGAAAGGTAACTAACGCACATGTGTAGAGAAAATTGTGCATCGGCCAGTCTGGCCGGCATTTCGCACTTATAGTGCAAGTAGGGCCAAGGAGAATGGAAACGCTCATTCTCAAAAAGTAGAGGGAATCTAGCGGTCTCACTCGATCAGAAGGTGGGAAATATATAAATATAGTGAGCTAATAAGGTTCGAAAGGAATCTAATGCATATGTATATGGAAAATGGTGCATTGGCCAGGTCGGTCACTATGGGAACTTAGAGTGCAAATGCCAGGGAGAACGGAAGCGCTCAGATCTCGCATAGTACACGGAATCTACTGGTCTCACTCAAATACAAGGTAGGAAATAAATTCATCTAGTCAATGTAAGGGTTTGAAAGGTAACTAACGCACATGTGTAGAGAAAATGGTGCATCGGCCAGTCTGGCCGGCATTTCGCACTTATAGTGCAAGTAGGGCCAAGGAGAACGGAAACACTCATTTCTCAAAAAGTAAAGGGAATCTAGCGGTCTCACTCGATCAGAAGGTGGGATATATAAAAATCTAGTGAGCTAATAAGGTTCGAAAGGAATCTAATGCATATGTATATGGAAAATGGTGCATTGGCCAGGTCGGTCAGTATGGGAACTTAGAGTACAAATGCCTGGGAGAACGGAAGCGCTCAGATCTCGCATAGTACACGGAATCTAGTGGTCTCACTCAAATAGAAGGTAGGAAATAAATTCATCTAGTGAACGTAAGGGTTTGAAAGGTAACTAACGCACATGTGTAGAGAAAATGGTGCATCGGCCAGTCTGGCCGGCATTTCGCACTTATAGTGCAAGTGTCAAACATCATATATGTTATGGTTGTGTAGACTACAGTGGGTTAGCCTATAGGGGGTACACAATTCTAGGGTTTCCTATTTGTACTCATTTCACTGCTAGTTCATTCATTCCTGTTCGCTTATTCTCACATGGTATAGAGCGGGTCCTTCCTAAGGACCGTTTTTTTTAGGGCCCACCGAAGCGCGCCCCGAAGCGCGCCATTGCTCTCGCGGCCCCGCTGTCCCTCAGACGCGGCCCCGCCACCCCTCCTGAGCGCGGCCCCGCCGCCTCCTCTGGCGCGGCCCCGCCGCCTCCTTTAACGCGGCCCCGCCGCCCGCTGATCGCGGCCCGCCGCCGGCTCTGACGCGGCCCCGCCGCCGCCTCCTGATCGCGGCCCCGCCCCGGCTCTGACGCGGCCCGCCGCCGACTCTGACGCGGCCCCGCCCCGGCTCTCTCGCGGCCTCGCCGCCGGCCCTGACGTGGCCCCGCCCCGGCTCTCACACGGCCCCGCACCGGCTCTCTTACGGCCCCGCCGCCGGCTCTCTTACGGCCCTGCCGCCGGCTCTCTTACGGCCCCGTCGCCGGCCCTGACGCGGCCCCTGCCCCGGCTCTCAAGCGGCCCCGCCGCTGGCTCTCTTGCGGCCCCGCCGCCGGCTCTCTTACGGCCCCGCCGCCGGCTCTCTTACGGCCCCGCCGCCGGCTCTCTTACGGCCCCGCCGCCGGCTCTCTTGCGGCCTTGCCGCCAGCTCTGAAGCGGCCCCGCCCCGGCTCTCACGCGGCCCCGCCGCCGGCCCTCACGCGGCCTTGCCGCCGGCTCTGACGCGACCCCGCCCCGGTTCTCCCACGCGGCCCCGCCGCCCCACCTGCAGCAGTCGGGCAGCAGTGCAGCCGAGCCGCCCTGCGTCCGAGCCGCCCTGTCGCCAAGCCGCCCGGGAGCCGAGCCGCCCTGCACCCGAGCCGCCCTGCCGCCGAGCCGCCCGGGAGCCGAGCCGCCCTGCACCCGCGCCGCCCTGCCGCCGAGCCGCCCGGGAGCCAAGCCGCTGTGCACCCGAGCCGCCCGGTCGCCGAGCCGCCTTTCTGCAGAGCTGCACGTCCTGCCCTGCCTGGTGAGCACACTCCCACTGTCACTGCGTGCTCTTCCCCTACTGCTTGCACTGCTTTGCTGTCGTCGCCATGGCTACCCCTAGTGTCCTAGCTTTTGACGCTGAGGGTCGCGCCATTGATTTTGAGGTCTGGTTAGACGACCTGCAGCTGTTCTTACAGTGCGACAGAGCAGACGGCCTTTCTCTCTTTGACCTCACCTCTGGCGCCTCTCCTGCTCCTGCTGCTGATGCTGATCCCACTGTCCGCTCTCAGTGGGCCACCCGCGATGCTGCTGCACGTCTTGCTGTGCGTCGCCACCTCCCTACCTCTGAGCGTGCGCACTTTAGTCAGTACAAGAGTGCTCAGACCTTGTACGACGCTGTAGTTGCGCGCTACTCCTCCCCTGCCACTGCTGCACTGAGCCGTCTCATGCTTCCCTACCTCTTTCCTGACCTCTCTGCCTTTCCCACTGTCGCTGACCTCATTACGCACCTCCACACTAGTGACACTCGCTACCGCGCCGCCCTTCATGCTGAGTTCTGCGCTAAGAACCCCCCCCCATGTACATCACTCTCTACAACGTAGTCGCGCGCCTCCCTGACTCCCTTCGCGTAGTCAGGGACCACTTTCTCGCAGTCTGTCCCACCACCCTCACCGTCGACCTCCTCGAGAAGGCCCTCCTCGCAGCGGAGAAGAGCATAGTCGCTGTAGGTGCTTCTCGTGGTGACCCTCGCACCCCCATCTTTGAGGGGTGCTCTCCTTCCCCCTTGCTGCCCTCTGTTGCCTCTGCTGCTGCTGCCGACCTGCTTGGTCTTGAGTCGGTCGGCGCGGCGTCTGCCCCTAGTGGGAGACGTCGCTCTAGCAAGGGCAAGGGGGGCAAGGGCGCGGGTGGAGCTGGAGGGGGCGGTGGCGGTGGCGGCGGAGGCGGCGGAGGGAGTGGGGGTGGCGGCGGGAGTAGTGGCGGGGGTGGTGGTGGTGGTGGTAGCAGCGGCGGAGACGGTGGTGGTGGTGGCAGCGGTGGTGGAGGTGGCAGCGGCGGAGGTGGAGGCGGCGGAGGTGGAGGCGGTGGAGGCGGCAGCGGAGGAGGCAGTGGTGGTGGAGGGGGCGGAGCTGGTCGGGGTGGTACCCAGCAGCGTAGCGGCGGTGGTGGTGGCCAGCGCTCGCAGCGGCAGCAGCAGCAGCGCTCGCGGGACATCCCTCCGCCTCAGCAGCTTCGTGAGTGGTACACTGGGCGTCAGAGGGGTGGGGGTACTGGTCCCTACACCTACGTTCTTCGTTCCGGCGACCGCGCGGGTGAGCAGTGTGGGGGTGCCCACTCCACTCAGCGCTGCTTTGGCCGCCTGCAGACGCTTGGCGTCAGCAGTTCCCCGGGGCTAGTGAGATCCCTCGCTGGGATGAGCTTCTTAGGGCTGGTGTAGCGATCTTTGATCTTGATTTTGGTACTGCTGCGCTAGGTGCTTGTGAGGCTGCTGCTCTAGGTGCCAGTGCGTCTGCGCTCTCAGGTACTGGTGAGACTGCGCTCTCAGGTACTGCGTCGCCCTCCTCCTCCCTCACTTTCACACTTGACTCCGGGGCTTCTCGCTCCTTCTTTCAAGACCGCACCACTCTCACGCCGCTTGGTCGGCCGGTTGCCGTCTCCCTGGCTGACCCCTCTGGGGGTCCTGTCCTCTCTCACTTCTCCACTGTCCTCCCGTGTCCGGCTGCCCCTTCGGGCACCCTGTCTGGACTGGACCTTCCCTCGTTCTCTACGAACTTGGTGAGTGGTGCGGACCTGCAGGATGCGGGGGTTCACCAGTTCACTCCTGCGAGTCAGCGGGTGACCCACTGCACGGACGCACGCACAGGCCGGCACCTGGCCACGTTCTCACGTCGGCCGGGGTCGAGCCTCTACACCCTGACCACTGCGTCTCCTCCTGTCCCTGCGTCTAGTCAGGTAGCTGCGTCAGGTCAGGTGCTTGCTGCTACGTCCCGGTCAGGTCCTGAGTCTGCCCCCTGTTCTTGTCGCCTCCTGTCTCACGAGACTCTCCTGTGGCACCACCGTCTTGGCCACCCGTCCTTGCCCCGTCTTCGGAGCATGGCTTCCCGTGTCCTTGTCTCTGGTCTGCCCCGGTCTCTCCCTTCCCTTCCCTCCGGGCCAGGACCTTCCTGTGTCCCCTGTGTCGAGGGTCGCCTCCGGGCTACTCCTCACTCCTCCCAGTTCCCCCCGACAGAGGCTCCTCTGCAGATGCTTCACATGGATGTGTGGGGCCCAGCCCCCGTCCGTGGGCAGGGTCACGAGCGCTACTTCCTGTTGGTGGTTGACGACTACTCGCGGTACACCACAGTCCTCCCCTTGCGCAGCAAGGGTGCTGTCACTGAGGTGCTGATCGACTGGATCAGCGCGGCTCGTCTCCAGCTCAGGCAGAGCTTTGGCTCGGACTTTCCTGTTCTGCGTCTGCACTCGGACAGAGGCGGAGAGTTGTCCTCTCGCCTTCTGCGAGACTACTGTCGTGCACGGGGGATCCGCCAGACCTTCACGCTTCCGGACTCTCCACAGCAAAATGGGATTGCTGAGCGCCGCATTGGCATGGTCATGGATGTCGCTCGTACGTCCATGATGCATGCGGCTGCCCCCCGTTTTCTGTGGCCGTTTGCGGTGCGGTATGCGGCGCATCAGCTCAACCTTCACCCCAGGGTCTCTCGGCCCGCGATGTCCCCAGTCTTACTGTGGACGGGGAAGGTTGGCGATGCGTCGGCGTTCCGTGTCTGGGGATCTCGGGTGTTTGTCCGCGACTTGTCAGCGGACAAGCTGTCCCCTCGAGCTGCTCCCTGTGTCTTCCTTGGCTTCCAGGGTGGCAGTTTTACCACCCCTCCTCTCGTCGTGTTCTGTCCTCCCAGGACGTCACGTTCGACGAGTCAGTCCCCTTCTACCGCCTCTTCCCCTACCGCACTCCTTCCCTCCCCCCTCCACCGGACTTCCTTGTCCCGGTTCCTCCCCCGGTAGACCCCCTCCACCCTCAGGTTCCTGCCCCCTCAGGTGTGTCCCAGGTAGACGCAGTTGACCCGGTCGAGGTTACTGGTGACTCTGGTGCTGCTGCGGGAGGGTGCTGGGCATGGAGGTGCTGAGCCTGGGGGTGCTGAGCTGGGGGCTGCTGAGCCTGGGGGTGCAGCGTCTGGAGCTGCTGAGCCTGGGGTTTCTCCTGCTGCTGCGTCTCGCCGGGAGCCCCTCTCTCCACAGGAGCTGCGCGAGTGGTTCGCTCGCCGCTGGAGGTGTGCTGCTGAGTCTGGGGGTGCTGCTAGAGCTGGAGCTGGAGCTTCTTCGACCGTCGAGGGTGCGGGTGCTGCTAGTCCCGGAGCTGCTGGACCTGCGGGTCCTCCTGGAGCTGGAGCTGCTGAGGGTGTTGGTGCTGAGACTACTGCTGTTGGTCCTGCCGCTGGAGGTGTGGGTGGCGCTGGTGCTGTCGCTGAGGATGCTGGTGCTGTCCTTGCTGAGTCTGGAGCTGCTGCGCGGCCTCGGCCGTACTTCGTTCCGCTCTTGCAGCAGGTTCTTGGTCTTTCTCCTTCAGTAGAGGGTCCACAGCCGGTTCGGTCGCAGTCACTATTGGAGCCGTCCTCTCCACTGCCTGCTCCCTCTCCTTACACTGGTCCTACTGGAGGTCTTGCTGAGCGTCGTGAGCCTGCGTCCCGTCCCGCGTCGCCTGTTCGTGCTGCTCGTGCTAGTGGTCGCAGTTCGCGTCAGCGTCCTCCTCCTGTCCCTGGCACGCACCGGATGTCTCTGCGTCCGTCCACTGCTCCTCTGCGTGCCCCTTTGCCTTCTCCTCCTGAGTCCTCTGTTCCTGCGCTTGCCGATTCTGAGTCGGACTCTCTTCGTGCTGCCAGTCCTACTGTCACGCGTCTCTTGCTACTGTCGTCACTGACCCCTCTTTTGAGTCCACTGCTGCGTCTGCTCTTGTCGCTGAGCTCGTCGACTTTGCTGCTCGCTGTCGTCTAGACTACGCTGCTAGTCTTGTTGCTGAGTCTGCGTCTGTCTGTCCTCCGTCCGTCGGGGGTGAGTGTGCTCTTGGCACGGACGTCCTAGAGGACAGGCAGGAGGAGTTACAGTGTCTAGCGGCCGCTTCACCTCATCTCGCGTCTGTACTGCTTGCTCCTGAGGGAGACCCGGATGCACTAGACATCCCGACTCCGCGCTCTTACGCGGAGGCCGTAGAGGGTCCCTACTCCTCTCAGTGGCAGGCAGCTATGGATGTAGAGATGGCTTCCTGGAAGTCCACAGGCACCTGCGTTGACGCAGTTCCCCCTCCTAGGGCGAACATCGTCAGTGGCATGTGGATCTTCAGGGTGAAGCGGCCGCCGGGCTCTCCACCTGTCTTCAAGGCACGGTACGTTGCTCGTGGCTTCAATCAGCGGCAGGGAGTTGACTACTTTCAGACCTTCTCTCCCACCCCGAAGATGACCACTCTTCGGGTGCTGCTGCACATAGCTGCTCAGCGCGACTACGAGCTTCACTCTCTCGACTTCAGCACTGCGTTCCTGCAGGGTAGCCTGCACGAGGAGATCTGGCTGCGCCGTCCGCCTGGCTTCACTGGGACTTTCCCTCCTGGCACCCAGTGGAGCCTCCGACGGCCAGTCTACGGTCTCCGCCAGGCACCGCGTGAGTGGCACGACACAATGAGGACTACGCTTGCGGCTCTTGGGTTTTCTCCGTCTACTGCTGACCCGTCGCTGTTTCTGCGCACCGACACTTCACTGCCGCCGTTCTACATCCTCGTGTACGTCGACGACTTGGTCTTTGCCACAGCGGACACTGCTGGACTCGCCTACGTGAAGTCTGAGCTGCTGAAGAGACACACGTGCACAGACCTGGGTGAACTGCGCAGCTACCTTGGCTTGCAGATCACTCGGGACAGAGCACGCCGCACCATTACCTTGACTCAGTCACACATGGTGCAGCAGGTCCTTCAGCGCTTTGGCTTCACGTACTCCTCGCCTCAGGCCACTCCTCTGCCTACTCGCCACTCACTCTCAGCTCTGCCTTCGGATGAGTCCGTAGAGTCGAGTGGTCCGTATGCAGAGCTTGTTGGCTGCCTCATGTACCTGATGACCTGCACACGACCTGACCTTGCATACCCTCTGAGCATTCTTGCACGCTATGTTGCTCCTGGGAGACACCGACCAGAGCACATGGCTGCAGCTAAGAGGGTATTGCGCTACCTGTGCAGTACGTCGGGCATGGGGCTAGTGCTTGGAGGGCGGAGTCCAGTGGTCCTTACAGGCCTAGCGGACGCTTCTTGGGCTGACGACCAGGCTACGCAGCGGTCGTCACAGGGTTACACAGGGTTCCGGCTCTGTCTCCTGGCGGTCTACTCGTTCGTCTTCGGTTCTCGGCTCCAGTTGTGAGGCTGAGATCTACGCCGGGGCCATGGCTGCACAGGAGCTTCGCTGGCTCACCTACCTGCTGACTGACCTTGGAGAGCCGCCTCGTTCTCCTCCAGTGCTGTACGTAGACAACAAGGCTATGCTGGCCTTGTGTCGAGAGCAGCGCTTGGAGCACAGAACGAAGCACATTGCTCTCCGCTACTTCCTTGCTCGTGAGCTGCAGCAGCGTGGTCAGTTGCGACTTTCGTACGTGGCCTCTGAGGCCAACACTGCTGATGTGTTCACTAAGGCACTTGCGCCTTGTGACCATCAGCGCTTTTGTACCCAGCTGGGTCTTGTGCCTGTCTTGCCTCACTTGCTCTCCTCTTGACTTTACTTGTATTGTGACATATATATATATACCTGCTCTTGCTTGTCTAGTTTTATATATATGTCTGTACTCCTGCATGTGAACTGGCCTCTGGCCCTGCTCTTGTGCTCGGACTGTGTGGTGACTTTGTGATCCACCCTGAGCTTGCTTTGCTTTGCTTGACTGGTCTTGTGACCCCTTGTTCTCCCCCACTTTGCCTATGGGGGTGTGTCAAACATTATATATGTTATGCTTGTGTAGACTACAGTGGGTTAGCCTATAGGGGGTACACAATTCTAGGGTTTCCTATTTGTACTCATTTCACTGCTAGTTCATTCATTCCTGTTCGCTTATTCTCACGGCAAGTAGGGCCAAGGAGAACGGAAACGCTCATTTCTCAAAAAGTAAAGGGAATCTAGCGGTCTCACTCGATCAGAAGGTGGGAAATATATAAATCTAGTGAGCTAATGAGGTTCGGAAGGAATCTAATGCATATGTATATGGAAAGTGGTGCATTGGCCAGGTCGGTCAGTATGGGAAGTTAGAGTGCAAATGCCTGGGAGAACGGAACCGCTCAGATCTCGCATAATACACGGAATCTAGTGGTCTCACTCAAATATAAGGTAGGAAATATATTCATCTAGTGAACGTAAGGGTTTGAAAGGTAACTAACGCACATGTGTAGAGAAAATGGTGCATCCGCCAGTCTGGCCGGCATTTCGCACTCATAGTGCAGGTGGGGCCAGGGAGAACGGAAACGCTCGTTTCTAAAAAAATAGAGGGAACTAACGATCTCACTCGATCAGAAGGTGGGAAATATATAAATCTAGTCAGCTAAAAAGGTTTGAAATGTATTTAACGCACATGTATAGAGAAAATGGTGCATTGGCCAGGTCGGTCAGAATCGGAACTTAAAATGCAAATGCCAGGGAGAACGGAAGCGCTCAGATGTCGCATAGTACCCGGAATCAAGTGGTCTCACTCAAATAGAAAGTAGGAAATATATTCATCTAGTGAACGTAAGGGTTTGAAAGGTAACTAACGCACATGTGTAGAGAAAATTGTGCATCGGCCAGTCTGGCCGGCATTTCGCACTTATAGTGCAAATAGGGCCAAGGAGAACGGAAACGCTCAATTCTCAAAAAGTAGAGGGAATCTAGCGGTCTCACTCGATCAGAAGGTGGGAATTATATAAATCTAGTGAGCTAATAAGGTTCGAAAGGAATCTAGTGCAAATGTATATGGAAAATGGTGCATTGGCAAGGTCGGTCAGTATGGGAACTTAGAGTGGAAATGCCAGGGAGAACGGAAGCGCTCAGATCTCGCATAGTACACGGAATCTAGTGGTCTCACTCAAATAGAAGGTAGGAAATAAATTCATCTAGTGAACGTAAGGGTTTGAAAGGTAACTAACGCACATGTGTAGAGAAAATTGTGCATCGGCCAGTCTGGTCGGCATTTCGCACTTGTAGTGCAAGTAGGGCCAAGGAGAACGGAAACGCTCATTTCTCAAAACGTAGAGGGAATCTAGCGGTCTCACTCGATCAGAAGGTGGGAAATATATAAATCTAGTGAGCTAATAAGGTTCGAAAGGAATCTAATGCATATGTATATGGGAAATGGTGCATTGGCCAGGTCGGTCAGTATGGGAACTTAGAGTGCAAATGCCAGGGAGAACGGAAGCGCTCAGATCTCGCATAGTACACGGAATCTAGTGGTCTCACTCAAATAGAAGGTAGGAAATAAACTCATCTAGTGAACGTAAGGGTTTGAAAGGTAACTAACGCACATGTGTAGAGAAAATGGTGCATCGGCCAGTCTGGCCGGCATTTCGCACTTATAGTGCAAGTAGGGCCAAGGAGAATGGAAACGCTCATTTCTCAAAAAGTAAAGGGAATCTAGCAATCTCACTCGATCTGAAGGTGGGAAATATATAAATCTAGTGAGCTAATAAGGTTCGAAAGGAATCTAATGCATATGTATATGGAAAATGGTGCATTGGCCAGGTCGGTCAGTATGGGAACTTAGAGTGCAAATGCCAGGGAGAACGGAAGCGCTCAGATCTCGCATAGTACACGGAATCTAGTGGTCTCACTCAAATATAAGGTAGGAAATATATTCATCTAGTGAACGTAAGGGTTTGAAAGGTAACTAACGCACATGTGTAGAGAAAATGGTGCATCGGCCAGTCTGGCCGGCATTTCGCACTTATAGTGCAAGTAGGGCCAAGGAGAACGGAAACGCTCATTTCTCAAAAAGTAAAGGGAATCTAGCGGTCTCACTTGATAAGAAGGTGGGAAATATATAAATCTAGTGAGCTAATAAGGTTCGAAAGGAATCTAATGCATATGTATATGGAAAATGGTGCATTGGCCAGGTCGGTCAGTATCGGAACTTAAAATGCAAATGCCAGGGAGAACGGAAGCGCTCAGATCTCGCATAGTACACGGAATCTAGTGGTCTCACTCAAATAGAAGGTAGGAAATAAACTCATCTAGTGAACGTAAGGGTTTGAAAGGTAACTAACGCACATGTGTAGAGAAAATGGTGCATCGGCCAGTCTGGCCGGCATTTCGCACTTATAGTGCAAGTAGGGCCAAGGAGAACGGAAACGCTGATTTCTCAAAAAGTAAAGGGAATCTAGCGATCTCACTCGATCAGAAGGTGGGAAATATATAAATCTAGTGAGCTAATAAGGTTCGAAAGGAATCTAATGCATATGTATATGGAAAATGGTGCATTGGCCAGGTCGGTCAGTATGGGAACTTAGAGTGCAAATGCCAGGGAGAACGGAAGCGCTCAGATCTCGCATAGTACACGGAATCTAGTGGTCTCACTCAAATATAAGGTAGGAAATATATTCATCTAGTGAACGTAAGGGTTTGAAAGGTAACTAACGCACATGTGTAGAGAAAATGGTGCATCGGCCAGTCTGGCCGGCATTTCGCACTTATAGTGCAAGTAGGGCCAAGGAGAACGGAAACGCTCATTTCTAAAAAAGTAAAGGGAATCTAGCGGTCTCACTCGATCAAAAGGTGGGAAATATATAAATCTAGTGAGCTAATAAGGTTCGAAAGGAATCTAATGCATATGTATATGGAAAATGGTGCATTGGCCAGGTCGGTTAGTATGGGAACTTAGAGTGCAAATGCCAGGGAGAACGGAAGCGCTCAGATCTCGCATAGTACACGAAATCTAGTGGTCTCACTCAAATAGAAGGTAGGAAATAAATTCATCTAGTGAACGGTAAGGGTTTGAAAGGTAACTAGCGCACATGTGTAGAGAAAATGGTGCATCGGCCAGTCTGGCCGGCATTTCGCACTTATAGTGCAAGTAGGGCCAAGGAGAACGGAAACGCTCATTTCTCAAAACGTAAAGGGAATCTAGCGGTCTCACTCGATCAAAAGGTGGGAAATATATATATCTAGTGAGCTAATAAGGTTCGAAAGGAATCTAATGCATATGTATATGGAAAATGGTGCATTGGCCAGGTCGGTCAGAATGGGAACTTAGAGTGCAAATGCCACGGAGAACGGAAGCGCTCAGATCTCGCGTAATACACGGAATCTAGTGGTCTCATTCAAATAGAAGGTAGGAAATAAATTCATCTAGTGAACGTAAGGGTTTGAAAGGTAACTAACGCACATGTGTAGAGAAAATGGTGCATCGGCCAGTCTGGCCGGCATTTCGCACCTATAGTGCAAGTAGGGCCAAGGAGAACGGAAACGCTCATTTCTCAAAAAGTAAAGGGAATCTAGCGGTCTCACTCGATCAGAAGGTGGGAAATATATAAATCTAGTCAGCTAATAAGGTGCGAAAGGAATCTAATGCATATGTATATGGAAAGTGGTGCATTGGCCAGGTCGGTCAGTATCGGAACTTAAAATGCAAATGCCAGGGAGAACGGAAGCGCTCAGATCTCGCATAGTACACGGAATCAAGTGGTCTCACTCAAATAGAAAGTAGGAAATATATTTATCTAGTGAACGTAAGGGTTTGAAAGGTAACTAACGCACATGTGTAGAGAAAATGGTGCATCGGCCAGTCTGGCCGGCATTTCGCACTTATAGTGCAAGTAGGGCCAAGGAGAACTGAAACGCTGATTTCTCAAAAAGTAAAGGGAATCAAGCAATCTCACTCGATCAGAAGGTGGGAAATATATAAATCTAGTGAGCTAATAAGGTTCGAAAGGAATCTAATGCATATGTATATGGAAAATGGTGCATTGGCCAGGTCGGTCAGTATGGGAACTTAGAGTGCAAATGCCAGGGAGAACGGAAGCGCTCAGATCTCGCATAGTACACGGAATCTAGTGGTCTCACTCAAATAGAAGGTAGGAAATATATTCATCTAGTGAACGTAAGGGTTTGAAAGGTAACTAACGCACATGTGTAGAGAAAATGGTGCATCGGCCAGTCTGGCCGGCATTTCGCACTTATAGTGCAAGTAGGGCCAAGGAGAACGGAAACGCTCATTTCTCAAAAAGTAAAGGGAATCTAGCGATCTCACTCGATCAGAAGGTGGGAAATATATAAATCTAGTGAGCTAATAAGGTTCGAAAGGAATCTAATGCATATGTATATGGAAAATGGTGCATTGGCCAGGTCGGTTAGTATGGGAACTTAGAGTGCAAATGCCAGGGAGAACGGAAGCGCTCCAATCTCGCATAGTA